CTAAACCCTAAATCCTAAACTGAATTGCTACCCAAGTAGCGTGCCGCCCCCTTCGGCCTTGCTCTCGGACTCGAATTGGGCATCCCAGAGAAAGTTCCTGACAAAAACAATGTCGGTGCCTAAATTAATGGGTTTAGGGTTTAGGGTTGTTATGGTTTAGGGCTTCGGATTTAGGATTTAGGTTTTAGGATGTCAGGGCTTAAGTAAGTAGAATTACAGAACATCAGCTGGAACAGAAAAGGACAAATAATTGGCCGCGTGGCAAAACATTGGGGGCTGATGGGGATGGACGGCGGGGGGCCTAAAATATTCCAATACGGTTTGGGGGTACACAATACTACATGTATAATGAAAGGATTGTACGAGGGGATACAGTTGGCAGATATTCCGGCAACATTAAGGATTCAGTGGGTTTTGAGGGTACTTAGGGTTTAGGGTTTGACCCTCAGCCCTAAGCCCCAAGGGGTTTAGGGGTGGACTATGGTTTCGGGGTCAAAGATGTAGCAGACAGGGCCAAAAGGTCCAGACTCCTACGGCTTGGGGTTTAGAGAGTGTTTCGGGGGTTAATCCTAAACCGTAAACCCTAAATCTAAAACCCGATTAAGATCTAAACCCTAAACTCTTAATCATAGACCCCGAACCCTAAACTCTAAACCCTAAACCCCGAACTCTAAGCCCTTAACTCTCTAAACCCTAAACCTTCAACCCGTCACCCTGAACCAGGGGTTGGTACACAATGGTGTTGAAGTGTGGGTACTGATCCTGCGTGTTTTGGCATTTACGGCCTAGGGTGTGGGGTTTGGGGGGTTCAGGGGTTTAGGGGCACAGGGTCCTAGACCCCAAAAACCTGTACAATCGTTGCCTTTTGATTGGTGTTAAGGGTTTTGGGGACCATTTCTGTACCTGCTTATGACATTCAAGGCAGGATGTAGGAGGCTTGAACCCTCCTAACCTTAAACCGTAAACCCACATCCTAACCTAAATCCCTAAGCCCATGAATCCTAAACCCTAAACCCGAAGCCCTACACCCCCAAACTCCAAAGTTTTGGAGGCTTAATTCTTGGGTTTCCAGAAGCCCTGAGAAGCGAACCTCTGCCAAGAGCATGTCAATTTAGGGTTTAGGGTGTACCTAGACCCCCAAAGTATGTAGAAGAATGTCCTTTGGTCTATATTCAGAAGTTTTGGGCCATAATTTTACCTACTTTTGGGGTCCAGGTAGGGTTTAGGGCGTAGGGTTTTGGTAAGGTTTCTTGGAATGTAGTGTTTAGGTTTTACGTCTTTCTTTATTTAGGCCTCAGGATTTATGGCTTGGGTTTTGTGAGTCTAGGGGTGAAGGTTTTGAGCTGTGGACCGCACTAATGATGGTTCCGGAAAAATCTGAGTTCTCGTCAGGCAGGGAGGCAACAGGAAGATATTTAGGGTTTGGGGTTTAGGGATTAGGGTGCGAGCTGGGCAACGACCACCGAACCCTGGACCCTAAGGCTTACTGTAATTTCTTGTTACTAGTTTCGGAACCTTCGGCGCAAGAAAGGTAAGATTTTCCGGAGTACTCGAAGAATACAACCACCAAGTCCTCAATCCTAAATCCACCACAGGGATAAGCCCTAAACCCTAACTACTTATACACTGAACCCTAGACCCCTACACCCTGAAACCTAAACCCTAAACCCTACCAAAGGGAGAGGCTCCCTTGCAGCTTGACCGTCGCAGGGTACATGAGATTGTCGAAGGCATGAACCTGCTGTAGGGTTTAGGGCTTTAGGGTTTAGGGCCTGAGTCTCCAAGAACACACGCCTCCCAACCACGAATTAGGATTTAGGGCTTGGGATTCAATAGTTTTAGGGTTCAGGATCTAAGGCTAAAGATTTAATAGATTCAGAGTTTAGGATATAGATTGGGACCTAGGCTCCAGGGATTCGTATTAAACTTACTGGTGCTTAGCAGGACGTGGTGGTATCCCCTTGAACCCTAAACCAGAATATGAATGTTCTTTGCCGCAACTGCGAGTGCCTGAAGCAGGTTGAAAGCCTTAGGTAGGATGTAAGGTTTGGGGTTTGGGGCTTATGGTTTAGGGTTGAAGGTTTAGGGTCTAGTAGTAGGCACCGAAGGCATGCAAAGGAATTGGGACCACTCTACTAGTGGGGGTTATATAGGGACTACTGTGGGACTCCACTCCAAGGCTCACTGCCAACAATCTATAAGCTGGGTTGCTGTCAAGGAACTTAAAGTAAAGTACTATATTGGGGGAACCCTATTATTTACCATATATACCCATTATGGTAACTTAACTTAAGTTCCTTAACAGCAACCCAGTAAGTGATGTTGCGAGATTCCGTGGTTGTCAGGAAGTTCACTAAAAAAAGTCGCTGTACTGACGACCAGAGATGGATGCGTGTAATGGGCCTGTGTTTTTCAAACACCTCATAGAAGCTCGTGTGTTGTGACAATCAAGCCGCAGCCAACAACAAATAGTCGACACTTGCCTCAGGTCTCAGCTATGACACCTGAGCCCTAAATCCTAAGCCCTGAACCCTATACATCCCCTATAGCCCCGTTTGAAGGCAAAGCGCACCGCACCTTGCATGATCATGCCATGCTGGCCAGCCAACAACAATCCTGGCAATAGAAACTTGCAGGTTCCCCTTATCTGGCCATGAAACGCACATAGGGGGGAGGGGTTGCAGACATATGCGGACCACAACATAAAACCCTCAAGGCATGTATGCTCAGAATACTCCAAAAAGGGGACCCCCAAGTTTGGGAAACCCGCCTGTACGGGGCTTCTACAACACCATTTCTCAAGAGTTCCTTTGGGGGTTTTATGCTAACATGTTAGCCAAAACCCTACATAGGAGGTGCTGGGCGAATGAGCCCCAAAGGGCGCTTTTAACCTTAAACCCGCCGGACAATCAGGCAACCGATAGATGCACCAAGCCCTTCCGCCCGAATGGTACTTTCCCCAAAACAGGGGGACACCGTGTAGCCACCCATACATTGTATTCCTCATTATTGGGGCCCCCTAAACCCTAACCCCCCAAAATGGTACCCCCTTATTTTTCGGAAACCCTTAAATAATGACTGAACTGCCTGCACTCCGGGAAGAGCTTCCGCAATACACTGCCTTAGTAGTCTCCAGAAAAAGCATGTAGATGTATAGTATATACTTGGGCCCAAAAGAGTTCCCATATAACTACTTTGGGGCCCAAGTATGTACTATACATCTACATGGAACCTTTGGGTTACATCCAGATTCGCTATGTTAACCTGGCCATTTCGCAAGGAGTGCGATGGTCCTTGAGCTTGTTCAGTTCCATCTCTACTTTTCTGCTGCTTCTAAGGCAGTTTTTGGGATGCTGGGCTTCGGTGAGTTCACTACTCTCTCAGCAGCCTACATCCTATCCCAAATTTTTGAAACTGTGACCATTCGCCCAGCAAAAGTTGTACAAATTGAGACTGAGTCAGGCGTCCTCGTAATCCCAAGCTCATTTTGGGGGCAATGCGTGCCTTGATTTTCTTTGTTAGCCCACTTATAAGTATGTTCTGTGCACGTGTGCCAAGTACTGTCCCACACCCTTTGACAACCTTCTTATTGTATAGTACAATACTCAACAAGGGTATACCCTAAACCAACATAAACGTGTGCGACCGAGTCCTTGGTGCAGACCTTTAAACCTTGTAGCCCCCCTTAAGTGAATAGAATATGGGGTATATAAGAATCTCATTATAATATATCCAAAACCATATTCTAACTAATTACTTAAGGGGGACTATCAACCTTAAACCGCGATTGCTGTTTGGCGTTGGCAATAGGCGAGGGCTTGCGGAACACCTTTTCCAGAATCTACATATGTACTATAATCTAAACTCCTCAAAGGGGATTATAGGGGATTATGAAGGCCAGCGGCTATATAAGTACCTAAACATTAGTTAAGACTTGTGGTTTCCGCTAACCCATTCAGATTGGAGTGATTAGAGTTCCAGACCTAATGCCCCCTGTTTGACCACCTAGACTCTTCATTAATTCATTCATAAAGCCCCCCAAACCCTCAACCTCTAAATCCTAAAGCCCTAAACCCCAACCTGTAAACCCTAACCCCTAAACCCTAAACCCTAAACCCTGAACCCTAAACCCCTAAACCCTAAACCCAACACCCACCAAGAGGCGCTAAGGGCCGTGAGGATGGTGAGTCGGTTTTGCCAGTGGAGCAGGAGTCCAAAACCCTTGGCATACAGATTCTTAATAGGGAAGAAGGGAAGATAAGGTCTAGGGTTTGGGGTTTGGGGTTCAGGGTTTAGGGTTCAGGGTTTAGGGTTTGGGGTTTAGGGTTTAGGGTTTGGGGTTTAGGGTTTCGGATTTAGGGTTTAGGATTTGGGGTTAGTAGGGAGTAAGGGAATCGATCATATAGGGGTTCTATAGGGGGTACATTCCTTTATTCAGTGCTAAGTAATGAAGAATCAGCAAGACCTTGGGCAAGAAGAGACGGGGGTACTTGGGGTTGGTTAAGGCTTAGACGGCTAACCTGGGAATACAGCTTTAGATCCACCCAAAACGGAAAGTCATTAGGGTTTAGGGTTAGAATCCCGGGGACACGGAGTTCAGGGTTTGGAGCACTGGTCTGTCATTTAGCCCGGTAGGTAGACTGCGAAACACCAGTGTTCTCTATGAAAATAAATATACTTATAACTTGCTTATGAGGTGCTGTATAGATTATCAGCTGATGAAAAACTTGAGTTTTCCTCATCAATCTGGTGGATGAGAGGCCTCTGGAATCAGTTGTAGAATCCCATTGGCAGACTGAAATCTCTAATCAAGATGACAGTGTTCTAGACCCTGCAGAGCCCAACGAAAGTCTAAAATGAGTTCTAAAATGCCACCCCAAACCCTAGACCCGAATTCTGCACCAGCGACCCTCTCGTAAGACCTGGCTTGACTAGGCTTGGACCTGTTCTTAGGGAAGCAGACTCTTGGTTTATAGTCAAACCTTAAGTAGATAGAATATGGGGCATATGGGGATCTTACTATAACATACCCAAAGCTATATTCTTTCTACTTGAAGGGGCCCCTCTAGGGTTTTGGATTTAGGGTGCTACAAAGCCCGCCATTTAGTGTCAAGTTGCGCTGCACTTCTGATACCTAATGGACCACCAGCCATAACGCATAGCTACGATTGAGCTCCGAAGCCTCTGTCTTTCATTTGCTCATAAGCACTTGTAGGGTTTAGGGTTCAGGGTTTAAGAGGGGGCCTGACAAGGCCACAATTCCACATGCCTCATATTTGGGGGCTTCTATGCGATGTGTACGTACATTCTGAATGAACGATGTCTTTTGCTTGAATGTTACCATCCCCTTGCCCCCTTGTAAGCATGTCCTACCAGCAGATACTATATATGTATATATATTTTTTCATATAGCTTCTAAACCCTGAACCCTAAACTCTTAATGGTCCCTCAAGTAGCCTTTAGAGGAAAGCACATCATCAGGCAGGAAACACCGTGGAACGGGCATCTCCCGTGTGAATCAAGACAGGCTCCAAAGCCTCTGCGGAAGGTTTTGCTGTATTCCCGAGAAGAGCGCAGCTCGTTAGAGGCTACCCAGATGAGCTAAAGTCTAAACTCCTAGCATCCCCATTAATAAGCCCCATAGTAATTGACTATATAATCTGCTATATAACCCTCCTTTAAGGAGTTTCGACTATAGATCATATGGGGTTTAGGCTCGCTACCTAAGTACTGATTTGGAGTCAAGGTCTTAAAGCCTAAACCCCGGAGCCAAAAGCCACCGGGAGGATCTAGCCCTTTCTGTCTTGTTGACAAACCCTGAACCCTAGGCCCTTGACCCTAACTCCTCATGATGTCTCTTCGTTGCCACATCCTGACCCCTAAGTTGTATACCCTACTGTTGATACTAAGAACCCTGCATGACCGAAGTGTTCTGGAGTCCAAGATGTAAGGGTGCTTCCAAAGTCCTGCAAGGTATTTGGGGGTTTTCCAAAATTATGGGTACCTTTTTGGGGGTCCCAATAATAATAAGTATTTTGGGATCTATATTGGGGCCCCCTTATTTGGGAAACTGCCATTTAACATCAACAGTACTGGCGACTTCCGCCTGCAGGAACTTGTTTGTCTCGGTGTCGCCCTTCCTCGTGCCAATTTCTCCTGACACGATTCAGGGATTAGGGGCTGAGGAGTTTAGGAATGGCAACTTATCTTTAACGAGCTTTGCACATGGCATCTGCTCTATTGTTAATGCACCGTTTCCTAAGAAGTTTTCCGACCGCCTCAAAGTCACATCGGGAATGAATCAACATCATGTGGTCCCTCTATGGGCGTCCTATAATTTAGGGGGCGTATGTAAAGCTAACGACCCCAAGTGGACGATCTACCATATGAACTATGAACCAAGTTCCCCCCTTAAACCCTAAACCCTAGACCCTAAACGAACTGTCTAATTACTTCTTGAAGTGCAAAGCTTGACCCTTCAACACTTTTGGAGCCAGAGGACTAGGGTTTAGGACCCATCACTTATAGCTTCCTTCACGTATAGCTTCCTAAAATGAGAGGTTCCTTTTGGGGTGGTCCTGGTCCATGTACTGAGGACTAGAAAATTTGGATGTGCATGTAAGGGGCTACTCTTTCTAGGGTAGGTTTGGGGGCCCTATAAAAATTGAATTTCTATGGCTGTACAAAAGGGTAGTTCAAGTTAACATGTATTCTTAA